CTCCCCCGCCTCCACCATCCCCGTCCTTCCCCCCATTATTCACCAGGCAGCGCGTATATCCCACGTGCGTTATTAGCTTTTCGGGTAGATGAAAATCGCGTTCCGTTCCCTTCGCAAACATCCAGGCAGAGGTCTTGGTGTGCTGTGAGCAGCCTGAGCCAGACACACACTAGCCTAGCACCCTAACATAGCCACACTCCCACACCAGTTCTGTACACCTGCGCTCACCCATTCTGTGCACCATAGAATGCTCGCCCACCGGACATAATACAAAACATATAGCTATTTAAAGATTATATCCCATTCGGGCATTCTTATATTTTTTCCTTCTCGTTAAATCGTAAGTGTAATGTTTTGGGTTTTTTTTTATTATCTAAAAGATACAGATGGGTAGAGGAGCCCAAATAATTTGACACAAAACGAAAGCTTATTTACATAGAACTTTTCTACAGTGATGAGAACAGTTTATATATAAGGATGTTTTTGTTCAGCTGCTTTATAACGAAATAGTACACATTCTCCAAAATTGAGAAAAAAAAGATTGTTATGAAGAGATATTGTGGTTGTCGTTGCTATCGTCTTCCTTGGTGCTGCTGCTGTTGTTTTCTGGGTCTTTTGTTTCCACCAAGTCCGCCTGGTATCAATAGTTCTTTTTAAAATATTTTCCGAGAGGCAATGATAAAGCTAACAGTGTTACTAAAAAGAAATAGAAGGACCAGAACACAGCAGAGCACCACCAAAGCATCCTCTTGTGGGCACATTGTTCACCCTGACACTCAGAGTCGTTGGAGTCTGCAACATATTTTAAACATTGACCAGATGATGATGATAGTTATTATGGTATTTTTCCCAAAATCGGCTTCACAGGGCAATGAACAGTGAGCTTTATGTAGACCTTTCTTATGTGGAAAAGATTCATCATTTTCATGGGATAAGCTTATAAAATCATTTCTAGATAATCAAACTTTTCAAAGACTGGAGATATGAGGAAGAATATCTAGTACATAAATAAATTTTACAAATCTATAAAAATCTAAATCTTTCAATTGAAACTGCGAATAGTTTGATTAGTGACGAAAAAATTAAAGTACGTGAGGCCCCTTAGATAAAATGCTTTTAAAAAACGTAATCACATTGATTCACCTTCTTGCCGCAACGTCAGTGATCAGATAAACATCCAGTCTGACTAGATCACGTAATGTCAGTGGAAATCGGCCGCAGATACCATGCCCAGAAGACGACAACGAGAAATGTAAACATGTATAAAACTATGTATATCAATAGGACAACACTATGGCTTGTGACCAAACAGGTGGTCAAGATAATCGATGACCCGCAGCCAGGTTATCGATCAGGGTACGGTCATTCTCCAAATAACGTATACAATCTACTTGTGCGATATACAACATTCCTTTGCTGGTCACGGTGGTACATTTGGCCACCAACTTGACGAAATGTTGAAGTAAAAAGATTCGAAATCGAGAAAGAAAATCTAGTTGTTTATTCCGTATTCAGTAAAGCCTGAGTGATAATAATGGTAATGATAATGACAATAATATAATTGTAATGACGAAAAGGAAAATAATAATACACATCCCAAATTTATATGTAGATTAGAAAAACTTAGGTCATGCATTAATTCTTTGGAAAACCGCCTCTTATCATACTTTAGAATATTATAGTTGAGCGCTCCTTTTCAAATTTTTTTCTCAATATGTTCTTGACTTGCCTGTCTCTGATCTTAAACGAAAGTTGAGTATTTTCACTACTTTTCAACATTTCAGCGTTGATCACTGAGATGAACTTTGGCGCCCCATTCATCGAAAAACAAACGCGTGTTTTGGCGGTTGAAAAGGGCAGGGGGTATCTTTATTTTATTGCTTGTTTGGTTGGGGGGGTTTTTGTTATGCCTTGAGTTGAATGTTGTTCAGTTGTTGATCTAAAGGCAAGTCAGCGCAACAACGACAATATTTCGAACCAAAACGTGTCCATGCAAAAATACATTAATTTAATATCGAGCATTGAACCTGCGGCTTGAGAGAAAGATAACAATTAAGGTAAAAGTGGGAGTAATTCTTAAACATTATTTTTACACGTCACAAATGAAGAAAGAAGAACGTTAATTGTGTTATTTTGGGTGACTCTGGGTTGCCAATGTGACTTGTGCGTACACAAAGGGAAGATTAGTATCGGCGACACTCTATTCAGATGGCTACAGTCGAAACAAAAAGGGGTGGTTTGATTATTTTAACCCGATAGGGTGGACAGCTGCATTTGAAATGCCAATGAAAAACCCTTAGAGTCTCAAGCTGTATTATCAATGTACTATAGACTGTGTTAAGTCGGGTTTTTTATTGGGGTGGGGGGGTGTAACAATAAAACCCTTCCAACACAGCCAGTCTCAAGTATATCCTTCTGTTGGATTCGAACTCGGGTGGTCCGAACTGCCCATGGAGACAAGCGTCGCACAAAATGATCGAACAGGGCGCCAAGAAGACGTCTAAAAATGTTTGACGCCTCCAAACGTATACTCTATTAGCAGTCTATTATCAGTCTATTATCAGTCTATTATCAGTCTATTATCAGTCTATTATCAGTCTATTATCAGTCTATCTACACTCATCCTTTGTTGCCTTTGTGTGGTCAGGAAATCGGCTTCTGGGCTTCAAGAGTGTGGGTGGGGTTTCCTTGATCCGCAATCCGGTCAAAGTTCTCGTCTTGTGAGTGCCTTGTCCGGCGTGGAGGAGTATGTGTGCTGTGAAAAA